CTAACAAAAACGTGCTACACCATTGACTTTTGCATTTCACAATATTTTGTTACAAATGCTCATATCCTGTTATCAAGCATCAGAATTTTTTACTCTTTTTTGTTTAATGACGATTGTCCCATGTCATCACAATATCAGTAACAGTTGCAGTTTTTCTTTTAGCCAGAGCAATGTCTTCACACCTCCAAAATGATTGGTTAGAATGCATTATTTGTTTCCTGATCCATGTTCAAAAAGCCGCAAAATCTTTGAGTAATCCCTGTTCACCACTTTCTAAGTTGTATCGTGTCAAATTGGGGTGTGATCCTTGGCTGTATGGTGATTCAGGTTCAATGGCTTTTGGCTGCCCCCCCCCCAGAAATATTGACAAATGGGAAGAGCTACCGACATAGGGCTGGATAGCTCATTTGGTTGAGCACTGGTACAGTATTAATGAGGTTGCAGGTTCGAGTCCTCTTCCAGTCAATTTCTTTGTTCATCTGTATAATTATTATTGTTCGAATGCAGTTTGATTTTTCCCATTTATGTCCCTAACAGTAGAGGCAATCAGCAGTGACAAAAGGGAAATATATGTACCACAAGATGTTTTCGAGTGTGTAGTTGTGTTGGAAAAATCAGTTTTGTTGTCACTATTTATCTCTCACTGATGATTCTTTTTTTATTGATGGTGTCCACATTTATTTTTGTGTATTGTTTCCTTCTCAATTGAGTATTTGAGTTAAAAATTTCCGCATGTCAGGGCTGACATTGTTAGTACCAGTATTGAAGTACAAATTTAACTTCTGACTTTAATCTTCGCGATTGTAAATGTCATTGATATGTTTTTACGCCATGTCACCAGGAGCAATTCTGCAACCCAGGTGAATTATTGGAGTTTTTATGCTTAGAGTACTGTATTGTTGACTCCATCCTCTTTAGTAACAATAACAGGTGCATTTTCTGGAGTCAATTTGGTGAAAATACTTAACAGCATTTACAATTTGTACACTGTGTACCATGCCCAGATATGAATGGCCTAAAGGGCTTTTAGAGAATGGCAATTTACCTGAGTAGCAGATTGTGTAATATATGTTTAACATTGTTGTTTATGAATGTACTAAATGCCATTGAAATTTAATTTATAAAATCTCATGTTAGACCAAGATATTGAAAATTGGTATTTTGAATGGAAATGTGTATGAGAAAAATTGACCAAGAAAACAAATGGAACTTATTTCATTAGCCGAAGACATGCAATGCTCAAGAACTGAGTCGTTACTGCGCCGATTCCTATTTTAAAATCCTGATGGCTAATGGAAAATTGCAGCTCACAGAGGAATATAAAGATTGAATAGTTACTGATTAATGCACTTAATATTTTATTTCCATCAAGATCACTAAAATGTTTATCAAACATAATGTTTCTCACCAGGATATATTTAATCACAATTGATGGACACCACCAAAGAAAAAGAATATTGCTTTTTTTGTATCGAATCTTTTTCAAAAGTTACATTTACCTTGAAGAATCCTTACCAAATAGAGTTCCAAAGAGCACAAAGAGTTAAGACTGAATTTGTTGGAGAATGTGAACCACAGATAATTCATTTTTCTTTTTTGGTTGGGCAACATAGTTTGCAGGGATGGGATTGGCCACTTCAAATTAAAGCTAACAAGAATCACCCAAAAGCTGGAATTAATGTAAAAGGTTCCCATACTCAGTACAGAGCAGGAGTATAAAAAAGCGTCAAATCTAGGCCAACATCTGAAACCCCAAAAGTTTAAATCAGCTAAACAGCTTAATTTGTTTTTGGATTACCTTTGGTGTTAATCAAGGAAACTTTAACATTGTTGGGATGCCTTACAATTTGTACCGAGAAGCGAATATGTAAGTGAATACTGGTTCTTTACCAAGTTGATTTCTGAGTAACAATGAGATTAAAGAATTGTGACCAGGTTGATTAATGACTATCAGATTAAACTGCATTAATCTCATATAAATCTTGGTGTACTATCTCTCATTTAAACACACTCAGTACAAACATTGGTTTCAAGCAATGTTAAGAAGGTACACTAAATATACCAAACTAACTATTTTTGTATTATGATGATACATGGAACGATTTAATAAATTTCTAACCTGTTTACACAAATCAAATGTATTTAAATTGACTTAGTTGCCTGCATTTCTTTGTGCAGGCTCGCATCACTGTGATAAACGAACATTCCCCAACCTAGTTATATTGTCCAACTCGGCCACCTTTTCCATGCTATACTGAAAAAAGCTTAGATGGTTTTACAGTGTTCACACTGGAAATGCATCTGTGCTGCCTCTCTTGCTGATACCTTTAAATTTATGCATTCCTGATGAAACCACTGGCAGCATGTGCAACAGCAGATCCACTTGATTTTCTGAAAAGTAAATGGATGATGATCATAACGTCAAACACTCCATTCACTCTGTTTATCTTTGTTTACATTTTTTCAATACAAAGGATTGCATTTCTAAAATCGGGCGCACCTTGTGTTGTTTCCGTGTTCTTTTTGTGGGGTTCAGCTTCTTGCATTTTCCACACATATTCTGCTGAAAGAGAGAACAGAGAAGTAGGGTCACATTCAAAATACATACTTGAGTAATTGTATGCCCTGACCAATTTATCACATATATGTTTATGTTTTAATAATGCCTTGACCTGATCAAACCCTCCTCATGATTACATTTCTCATCGGATAAAGTCATTTAGGCGTAGCATTTGGTACGTTATGAAAAAATACTTTGGCCAGTTTATTTGCACTGTCAGTGGTGACACATAATTAGCAATTCAACCCGTGAAACAATGCCAGTTTAATCATTATCTCTCATGGACTCTGCTAAGAAAATTACTCAAAATGAAAGAAAACAAAATCAATGTTTACTTACATGTTTTACAATCAATTACTACTTTTGTATCGACAATGAACTTACCAGCTCGGTGTCCACTGGTTGAACTTTACAACGTTCACTGAAAAATAATATTGGTACACCAGAAGGAAGTACTTTAAGATGCGTCTGACACAACAATCTAATAGGGAAGGATGTGTTGATTGTTGAACATGATAGTACAAGTAAATGTATATAATTTGAAGCTTTCACTTGAATACTGAAGCCTGAAATTGTGTTACCTGAGTTCATTATGGTGAAGACTCTTTGAAAACAGACGTCGAGTAGCTTGCTGGAGAGAGACTGAAGTGTCTTCCTTTGATACTGTGTCATGATTTTTAAAGTGTAAAGCGAAATGACTGTCAGTATGAATGTCCAAAACTATTTGCTTCATGTAAATGGTGAAATGAAACTGTACATTTTTTTAATACATTTAAGGTGGTAAAGTTTTCATTGGCATTCTTTTCAATAACAATGAAAGCACTGTCACAAACGACTGTTCAATTTACAGTCAGATGCTGCGCTAAAAACCATTACAAAAATCCATTATTTTAACATACTGATGGTTTACTTACCGTCTGTCTCATGTTCATGTGCTTCCTCCTGCACATCCCCTTCTATTGGCTCATCCTCTCTGTCTTCTCCTGCTTTCAATTTATCACCTGCATTTTTGGTTGAATGTATAAATCTTAGTTTTTCATTGTTAAGCATGCACAGATTTAATAGATTTCAAATGAATCAAAAAATAATAAAACTTCAGAAACCATTAAACTAGACAGTACCCAATGTGACCAGAATGATTTGTTTGGTCTTCTTTTTAAACCGTTCTCCAACATGCTCTTGCAGTTAAAGGTGTGTTGTTAAAGACAATTGGAGTTTTTCAGTTGCATGTTGGTGGCAAACAAACTGGTCCTTTTCTATTTTTGTGCATGTGGTTACAATTGCATGTCCACATTATCCAAAAGGACCACCGTGTCTGCCCCCACCAAGTTTCCTAAACTCTCCCAATCAATCCAAAGTTAGATGTTCACTTTATCACAATGTACAATGAATACCATTGCACATAAGGCCAAACAAAATAATAGTTTTGCTTCCTATTACATTGAAAACAAAATGGTTGGCAGGTAGGTTGTAGTTTTTTTCCCTTTAAATTGAAAGTTACAAATGTTTATGTTGGGTTTGATTGTCTACTGTGTACTCCTGCTGCTGTTTTTTCTCGGTGGATTTAACTTGAGGAACGGTCTGGTAAAAGAATTTGTCCAAGTAACTGAGAAGATTTAGGGTTGGCACAATTTGCTATGTCGCGGCTGGTAAAAAGAAGTGCAACTATTATTTTTTTGCGTAACATTAATGGTTTACTTACCACCAGTCTCTTGTCCAGTTTTTTCCTCCTGCATGTCCCCCTCTACAATAGGCTCTACCTCTCTACCCTCCTCTGGTTCCATCGTGCCACCTGCATATTTTGTAAAATATTGAGATTGTATTTGGCAATGGGATCAGTGTACATATATTTCAGTTCCATTCTGGTTCTTTTTATCATGTCATTATGTTTTGACTTGTGAGGCAACAAACTAAAATAGAAATGAACATTAGCTTTCCTTTGTTTACCAATTGACTCCCTGTGATTTAGACTCAGCATATAATTCCCTAAAAAAGCATGTGAAACCCTATTTTAAAGAATAATGGGAAGATGATTCATTGCGAAAAGATTTTCACAAAGGAAATGTCCTTTGGACTTGGAAATTTGTCTGCCCATTTTCCTTATTTGCAGCTTCAATATGTTTCTACAGAATTTATAACAGAATAACTCAACTCCTAAACCTAACAATTTCCAGGGTGAAAAAATGTATTATGGTTATTTTTCAATCTCAACTCCACCTTGTTCTTTAACTGAAAGCTGTGTTGGAAAAGACAATGGGGAACTTGGAGAGGGCCGGGGGGCAGACAAATTGCTTCTTTTCCACCTTAGTGAACGAATACATATGCCCGGAATTCATTGCACATGGCAAATCATCCAGTAGGGCCACTGTGTCTGCTGGCACCAAGTGTCCCAAACTCTCCTATTCCATTACAGTCAGATGTTACAATGAAAACCATTACTCAAATCCAGTGTTGTAATATATCAGTGGTTTACTTACCATCTGTTTCCTGTCTAAGTGCTTCCTCCTGCATGTCCCCTTCCTCAATTTGATCAGTCCCTCTTTCTGCTTGTGCTTTCATTTTGCCATCTGCATATTTTTTCAATGTATAATTCATATTTTGCCACTGTGATACGTATCTTTTAGTTACCAATCTGGTTCATTTCATTGTACAATTTGATTTTCATTTGTTGGACATTAAACTGAAAAAAAGTTGAAACATGCATGATATTTGTTTTCCTGTATTGATTAATTCCAAGTGATCTATGCTAATTGTTTCACTTACACCTCTAAGTACACATCCGTATAATGTAAAGAGTACGTGAAAAAAACCATTGCCAAAACGGGCACTCACAGGAATTTCAATTTGTAGCTTGAACTTAGTCTCTACTTATTACTTAATTACAGATTCAATGTTTCAACTGAACCTATATTAAAATGATTAGAATAAAAAATCCTTTTGCATTTAGTTTAAACACTTTGACAAAATCCATTCTTCTGACAATCTTTCCTGTTGATGCTTTGAAATGGTCTGACAATGAAAGCAATATTAACAAGGGCAATGGAACCTTTTGAGATAAAATGTGGCAGCAGAAAAACCAGTCCTTTTCCAAGTTTGTGGACATACTTTATCATAATGTACACTAAGACTATTGCACCTAATCCAGTCTTGGGATATACACATATTAATGGCTTACCACCCGTCTCACGCTCCAGCACATCCGCTTCTTCAATGCGCTCCGCCTCTATATTCTCCTCTGGTTCCATCGTGCTGCCTGCATGTTTTTTAAAAACACAAAACTAATACTCGCAGATGTGTTCCTAGCACAAATAAATAAACACGCGAATGGTTGTTGTGACAACAACAATGCACATGTTACAATCGGTTAATGTGCACATACTATTTTGTCTTTCACTTTAAATTGTTCATTTTTTTTAAAAAAGCTTTATTATCAATTCTTAAATGGACATATACGGAAATCCAACAAGTACAGATTTTTTTACTGAATTTATTTCTCATTTTCTATAATAGTTTCCAAATTTGATGACCAAATTTGATCCACATACACTTAAGAAAATAGTTTCTGATATATAAATTTTACAGAAATGGTCGAATGCTATTTTCCACAGCCATAAGTTATACATGTATGTGTGCAGACACCTTGTAGATAATGTGCCCTCAATGTATAAATTCAAATATGATATTGTATATAAACTTTTAAAGCAAAAATCTACTCCAAAAAAGTCATTACCCTCCTCTGTGATCCCTTCTTGAGTCTTTATCTGGAAGGCTGAAGAGAAAAAAAATTGTCATATCATATCAATTTCAAGTTTCATATCATCTTCCTTTCATTGCTTTTTGAAATTATGATGTATGAGTTTTTATGCCTGCACTGGAGAATCCATAGAACTGATACATGTATTATTGTGCAGTGGTTAATCCTTTTCTCCTTCAAATTTTTTTTAATGTTATTTTTGGTGAATTTTTTCAATTGGTTTAAATTATTGGCAGTTAATATTGTTAACTACTGAGTCAGGTGCCATGTAATTGTCTTACTCACTGTAAATGAGGATACAATATACTTCTTGAGATTGCTTCAACATGGGGAGTCTTCCAAGTGTGGCAAATATCGAAGAGAGCATAACACAAATTAACACAACTGAATAAGAATTAGTTTGTGGACCCAGAAACTTATTATACAACCATATATATGTAATATGCATCTAGTAACTGTCATGCACATTACTATAACTTTCTATGGCTTTTTAATGCGTTCTAAGAATGGGTTCTTTTACAAAACACATAGCGTGCATGTTGATTTGTGTAAGCTCCACTTAACACTGTACAACGGAGAAGTAAAAGGAAAATCAAGAGGAGTGGTCTATGCACATACAAATGTGGCAACCACACCTTTTTGGTCACATGATTTGTACTAATAGTTTGAATTCTTTACTTCGATGGAAAGTGTTGGCTTAAATTACAACTGAAGATGCAATTGATGATAACAAGTATACTTGTAAAACATTGGTAATCTGATATGAACAGATTTTTTGAAGGGCATTGGAGCAGTAACAAAATTTTCAATTCCTTTCGCTATTGGCAAACTGTAAAGGACAGGCATTTTTACAGTACAGTAGAGTAATCAACAAAGTCAGTGGATTGAGCACAGAAAATATAAACTTTTTAAATGGATACTTATCTCGGTTGAAAATGTAAAATTCACAGGGATGTTGGGCAATGAAAGTGCTGTTTTTTTATGTTGCATGGAACAGTTCAACTAATGAAATATTACAAAATGTCTTAAAGAGTACGCTCAATTGCAGCATCCTGTATATGGTGCACTTTGGCGTGAATCATTAGTATGGTATCTCGATTTGGCTGAACAATTGACTAATATCATTTAGCATAGCACAGTGCAAATGCATGAAAAGCAAAACTGCGGTCGAATCGCCAGGCAGGGTAAACAAATTTGCACCACTTTGCATGTCAAAAGCATGAATGAAGTAAGCAGAGGTGTGTGGAGAAATCCCACACTGGGACAAATTACAAGTGTATACAGTAGTTGCAGAAACTTTACTGCAGAAACTGAAAAATTTCAGGAAAGGTTCACTTACCGTCTTCAATTTCTGATAGCTGTATGCGGGAAAACCTGGCAAAGGGTATCCATACACATCTTCTGTTCCTGGGTCCCGATGAGTTCCCTCCTCTTCTGCAAATCCTTTGATGAGTTGACTCTATGTTTAGGAAAACCTGAATAGTTGTCATCATGGGATCTGAAGCAATCGCCTTTTTACAAGCCTCCTTTGGTGGGTGAGGGATCTCTTTGGCATCTAGCATATCCATTAGTCGGGCAAGGTTAAATGCCAAGCCTTTGCTGAGTTGATACTCAACCTTCGGATTTATGGCAGTCAAAAGCTGAAAGAACATAGTTCTAAACTTAGTTTACTTAAAGTTCATACATTAAAGAAAAACACGTAAATTAATTGCCAAATGTAGTGTTTGTGGTCAGAACATAATTTGGAAGTTAAAATAAGCCATGTATGCATTTCAGTTGTATTTTCATTGTATTTATACAAATACAACATTTGGGGGTTTGTAATGATTTTGAATTAGAAAAATCATTCACACTTTGTGAATTTTTTGTGAATGAAACAATACTGCATGTTGTGAGTTGCGCGCGCGTTTATATGTTTTTTGTTTCTTTGGCCAACACGAAACCGTCAAAGGTTGAAGCTCAGGCAGTAGAATCCTCATGTTGATTGAAAGTGTTATTTTCATGTATGAGCGTCATTGATTAAAATATGCAGTGACAGCGAGAATCCTTGTTTGGGTATTACCTCTCAGAGGCCCAACACTCTTGTTGCATCGATGATCAAACCGGCAATGTCCGCAATGTCTTTGCTGGGTGATGGGAACCCTCTCATTTTTGCACTCCCAACCTGGAACTGTTCAATGCCATGGGTAACAATTGTACTGTTGAAGAATTCCGTAGCGAGGTCAGGTGGGTAGCTTTGAAGATTAGCCTTCCGTAGGAGCTATCATGTATGAAATGGATGTGAAGATTACTGACAATGTTAGTAATCACACGACAGAAGTTGCGTGCAAAATTCTTTTGTGCCGTAAAAAGACTCTCGCCAAGTAATGGGCCTACTTCAACTGAAATTTTACTAACTTAAGGGGAAAAATAGTTGTCTTTAAATAGAAGACAATAATTTGTCCCCCAATAACTGTAAACCACAGAAACGGGAGGCTCAAATCCAGAAGATGTCACCCAGAAACAGCTAGATTCAACAATTCAATCAGTTACACATGAAAACTTTGAAGGCATTCATGACCTAGAAGTGTTTTTAGTGGAATGAACATGATGTGTAAAAGCATAAGGAAAATTCAAGTGGTGCACAAACCACTGCATTTTTATACAAAAGGCAACCATAAAATCTCTGCTACTACCTAAATTCTTAACAACTCATGTCAACTACATAATTCAGTCTGATTCAAAGATCCTTTTGGAGCCGCATGATTGAGAAAGGGTGTAGGGACATGCATTATATATAAAACAGACCATAATAATATCTGGAAATGAAAATTTGATAAACCCCACTAGTCTCCTTAATTTTAAAAATCCATGCTTATTTGTAGATAAAGGCGAGAAGTGATTGAATTTCTAACAACAGGGACAGTACCTGCTCCATTCCCTAAAATTTATCCCAAACCTGTGAATCTAAAAGGGTCATGTTGTGACAGACCAAGTACATAGGAAAATATCATCAGTCTAAAGTAGATAAGATTCACAAGTTATGTGCATACGTACGTATTCAGTTAGAAACAGAAGTATCCCATAGGTCAGATGTAAGCGGTCATCTGCATCTGTGAGATGGGATAATGCTCTTGCTACAGCAACTCTACTTGTCTGGGAGATTTTTCTTCTGTTTTCTCTCATTTCCACACCAGCTGCAATAAGCACAGGCATACGCTGCACAGCAGAGTTTTCGAGTTCGTGTCTGTTGCTTTCTGCCTGAAATTGACGCTCGTCACATCTTCTTTGTGTACTGAGAAATGGTACGATCACCGCCCTTGTCATCTCACTGTAAATTAAAAAGAATTGCTCAGGTACCTTCAGTGTAATTGAAGTATTTTTTTTGTACTGTCCATCTTGCTAAAAACAATTTAAAAAATGGATTTTATAATATGACATAAAATATGACAACAACATTTCAAGAGATCCAAACCACATTTTTAAAAACTACAATGATTTCTTGGTGTGAGTTTGTTTCCTTCTAGTCCAATTTCAACCTGAATAGAACAGTGTTGTCCATTTAAAGGATTATCCAATTTATCCGGTTATATCAATGTATGTGGGCTTTTAAAATCATTCTGGATTTTAAAACCATGATTTCTATTATTTCAACAATAACTGACAAAACTTTTTTCAAAACTGGATGACACTTGCATAGAGACCCCCGTCTGGAAAGATTTATTGATTTTGTTGATCATTTTACCTACCGCTCACATCCAGCCAATTTAGAGAGAGCAAACCAGTTTGCACTCACAACAGGACAACACTTTGGAGTTGCTTCCACTGAGCATGTCGCATCAACCCCAGCATTAAAGTACTTTGTCATCAAGCCCTTAATACTTGCAGGCTCAGCATCGTCTATGATGACTGGGATAGAGGAAGAAGCAGTTGCCTTTGGCAAGTATCTCTCACGTGCATACCCAAGTAAAGCATTCTTCGCCCCTGTCATTTTAGATGCCATCCGGCAAGAGGTAGTTTTGCCTGGAAATGTACATTTCACTGTCTGTTAGCTCATATGAAAACCAGTGAAATAATCCAACGTAACAATAACAATTTCAGCAGTTGACATGTAGCTCGTATTTTTGCACTATACTGGTTTTGTGATATGGAAAAGGTCCCCAGATGTATTCCAGACTTTGACAACACTAGTGTTGTCAAAGTTCTCAACTTAATGAAACTGTACTTATTTTTATACACGAATTGCAATATTTCGTTTTGAATACAACAAAAAGCATGATGGCAGCTTGATGACTTTTGGTGGGCACCAAGGATGCCTTTTCATGTAAAAAATCTATGAATATTGTTAAACCCTTCTTCAATTGGTAACGTGACAGAAAAATGTTCTACAAATTTCTAAACGACAGTGTGCAAAATGATTGGCACTAACCTGTATTTATATCCCCGATAATAATTGGCACCGGGCAGCACTTATACAAATCTATTACTGTCTCATAGTGCAAGGACATGCAGACACATGCTGAAAAACCAATATAATGGTTCATCGTTAGAGTTCCTCACAAACATAAATCAGGAACGTCAGCTTGTAAGCATACCTTCTCTGTAATCATGGTTATTCAACATTATAATATAACTTCATAATCTCTTGAAAGAATTTAGACTAAAAATACAAATGAGCTAGCAATAAATCAGAATAGTAGCCAAATCCAACAAGAAATAAAAGAAATTTCACCCCTTAATGTTATTATAACCTCCACAATTCCAACTGACAAAGTGCAACAGACTGGAGTCATCGGGACCGGGCTAACAAAATAAATTGTGCCTCAGGTCTTACACTTACAGTTGTTCAAAGCAACCAAACAATTTCCTTACCTACAGTGAAAAATGCGGCCATCGCATTTTCGTGCAACGTTTCTGCCAACGATAGAAACACATCTCTCAGAACTTGCTCTGAATTGGCATTGTTGAAATGTTCTGGCACTTCTAGGTTGCTTCCTGACATTGGAAGGAGTTTGTCTACCCAGTAGTACATCTGTCTTTCTGGTGGTATCTCCTCTCCATGCGCATCTAGCTGGAGAGTAGGTGACAGAACCCAGATGTCTTCCTTTGGCTGTTTGCCAACGCAAACAGCCGCCGGCTGCGTTGTTGGTATTCCTTCCTCTGTACACCGCCTGGAAATAGGACCATAGGGTCATTCTATGAGGTAGGGTCACAATTTGTAACAGTGTCTTGGTTGGATGGGTCAGTCTAAAAAAACTCACTTCTGTGTTTAGTCTTGATATCTACCAATGTCAATTGAGAACCAAATGCAGGGAAGTAGCATTTCGTTTTTACAAACCCGTGTAACAGTGGCATCGTTACACATTGTGCCCCCAACCTCATGGAATGACCCAAGTAGTTAGCTCATTCGATTTTGATGTATCATCAATGTAAATGCCACTTCGTACCGTACAAACCAGCTGATACGCAATGTTATTGTATTTAAATAAAGTGATCCAAGTCATTCGATTTAAGTCATAACAAGTTTCATTTCTCTCATCTTAAAGAAGGTTTTCAAGTAAAAACATAATTATATCTCTTTCTGTGAGGATGGGGGTAGGAGTGTTTGAACCTAGAAGACATGTTCTAAATGTGACATGCCTATGGCCTGCGTGGCAGGTTCGTCAAAATCATACACCATTAGGATGAGGTTCAAATTCATTTTTCTGTTATTTATGCGCTTTATGCCAGCGAGCGAATTTCCTAGGTCTGATGAATTGAGGGGAGTAATTGCTCAGGTTCCGAATACTGAAGTCTATGTCCACATTTCTTCTTAGGCTTATTTCAAAAAATTCAGTCAAAGTGGCCAACGACGTCCACATCTCGGACTTAAAGAAGGCCACTGCGGTAAAACCTACCGGGCATTTGCATTTTTTTAAAATTAATGTTGAAAAAGTTTGCGGTAGGCCTACCCGCTGCTTATCATGAATCGGACCGGCCAGCCGACCCCGGCAAGCTCAGCGGTCGAGTGGTTAAGATGTCAACACCTGCAAGCAGGAGGTCGCGTGGGTTTGGAGTCCCACTCGAGTCTTAAAGCCCGTGTGTTTTTCACAAGCTATCGGACAGGGACTGAGCATACAGTGTTTATCAATATACATGTATACGTTGGGTAAGGGCAAAACAAGTTATGAAAATTACATAGTATCTGTTTTCCTTCCTCCATGATAGGATGAAATACTTCTGCAGCAATTTTGCATGCATATTTGTGTTAGGATATGGTAATATTTACAACTATTAAATCTTAATCTCGAATTAAAAACACTGTGTGTCGTTGGTCATGAACTATTTTGTCGTAATAGGCCTAGTCTGATACTAGTGGTTAGGTCGGACTTAGTGCTTCTTGGTCGCCTCATTTAGACAAACCAACCATGAAATGACAGGGCCTATGTGTTAATATTTGCCTCTTATTTCAGTTTAATGATTATTCATCTCAAGTGTCCCTCGTAACCAAGTGACGCAAATCGATGCACATTCATGAGTACAGCTTCATTTTGTCAACTCGATTATGCAACGGAGGCGTCATAAGATTTTTGTTATTTGGTTGTTTACATATCGTTTTGGTACTACCAGGATGTGAGAAGCATATCAGCAGACCATAGGCACTAGTACCCACGTATAACGCGCCTTTGCACGACTCGGCCCTCATGACGAGAAGACAAAAGTTCTTCGTTTCAAATTTGAAATTGTGACGTCTCTAACGCAAATGCTGCGCGAGTATTTGATTTATCACGGCAGGAATTTAAGATTTGAAGCGGGCATAACTCACCTGTAGAACTTCTCTACCTCACACAAAAAGAATTCCTTTAATTCACTCTTGCTGAATGTGTGAAGGAGTCCGCCACAGCCAGCTCCTTCGATGCCAAAAGACTGTGAAAGTTCCGTCGTGAACTTATCCAAGCCAGCTTGAATGCAGGAGTGCGTGATGAAGCACAATCTGGTAAAAATGTTCGGTAGCTTATCAGAATTCAGGTTATATGAACACAAAAGTAATCAGAGGCGTTGTATGTCAGCACAAATGCATTTACGTTGGTCGATACGATTCATCGACCATTCATGAGAAAATAAAAAATTACTTATTCCAAACACCGAAATGTTTTTGGCTATGCAAAAACAAGTTTCAGAGGTTACAAACCCACCATTGATTCTTATTCGTAGATTACACATTTTCACAAATCAATTTAATTTCAAACGTTACCGCTAAGAGTTTTTAAATTGACATTCAGAAAGACTTTACAATTCCTGTGCGCACGTGATTACCTGTCACAAATCCAGCTTGGATAAGGAATTTATAGCAAAACCAAGAACTAGTTTCAATAGGCCCGTGCTACCAAAGCCATTGCTTCAAGTTCAAATGGGTGCATAATTACTAAATCATTAGTATAGAACTAGTACAACAGTCAGGATTGGTCTTGGATGGCACAGATCAATTACAATTCCAGAAGCCGGGGAAACGACAATTTCAACTCAGGTGATGCCATCAAGTTTATAAGAATCTCCGCCACATCACTATGCAAAGCCTGACCGATAATCCTTTTTTGAGATTTACGACACAAATGAGGCTACCCCGGCCCGCGGCTGCCCTCTCATGGGCGCCGTTGACTGTGATATTGCTAGCCGACAGTATTCGTAAACAAGTTATCTTTGTCCTTGCTCCATGATTAAAGCCTCTTCTTCTTTTTACAGCGGGTTTTAAAAAGACTATCGATGGTCAAGGTATAAGGATAATCTGGGACTTAATTCTAGTTTATTATCAAATACTTCTGCCGCCGCCGCCGCATCCATCAATACAATCAATATGATGTTTGCCAACCCAACGAGCCATGTTACTTTAACACCGAGGGACGATATCGCGCAAAAAGTTCTCTTTCCAAATATGTGATAAACGACAATAAAAAAACCGAGGTCTTAATCCTAAAAACCATACCACTTTTGAAATTATCTCCAATTCAAACTTAATCAACAAAATGAGCAATTACCCGCATTTATTATTCAAAAACACGGCAAACGTGTATTGTGCAACGTGAAGTTGGCTGACCACCCACCTCACACGAGTACCTCTGTACTGGAGAATGTACGTTTTTCTAGCAATGAATGTTTGTAACCGAGGAAAAGGGTTTGGTGCAGGTTTCAAAACCGAATTTATTATCAAATGACACTGAATGTCAAAATTGATATCAGCAGCTGGGACAAGGAAAAAAATTAATAAGTTGGGGGAACTGCGAGGGAATCTCATCCCGGAAATGATTAATATCATATGCTACATACACACATCAGATTTCATTCAAGGTCTGAATAAAAATTAACATGACCACCGCCAAAAAAATCAGAACGTTTACAACAATGTCAATGATAATCTAAAACCAAATAATAAAAATTAGGGTATACATTAAACAGATAACAATCGACGCAGAACCAATACTCTACCAGATACAATGTCTAGCACAAAGCAAGTTGCAAACCTTTTTCAATGGGTCTGTCAAACTCCCAAGTCAGATTGACGCAGAAGTAAATTTGACCCCGGGATTTTTGTCGAGTGGAGTGCATTTATAAATTGTTGAACGTGCAGGTATCAGAGGCAGCTTCAACATGGTATGAAATTGAATAGACAGTGCATAAATCCCCAAAGTAAGAATTGTAATACACGGACATATTACCGCAAATGTTATTCAAAACAGTTATTACAATGAATTGACAAAGCACAACCGTTCAGGTTAAACAGCTAACAGACAAACTACAATATCCGCTCTTTGGCCTCACGAGAAAAACACGTTTCTGTAATGCATCATCCAAAGGTTTAGGCCTTGGTGCGATGGTGTGGTATGGACAAATGTAATCTCCAACCCTCAATAAACAAGAACGTAATTACCCAGGCCCAGCCGACTTGGCTGAACCCTGTGATAACTCTAATTATTAATTGAAAGAATAAACTGGGAGCTTGGTCTTTGGTTTAATCCACCCACACGTTAGAACTGGAGGCATTCTCATGTTACAGGGCACCAGTTTCTTTTCCACCAAAATGTAATATAAAAACCATAGCATTAGCACCATACCTTACATGCAAAGTTCAATGCACAATCTCAAATCGTAACCCTATTACGAAACGTCCACTGTCCATTTCAGCCAGTAGTATTTTGACCTCGCTAAAAATCCATGACAGACGAATTCGGAGTTGTCAGTGGGGCTCAAAACATTACTTGATAATGGACATGGACAATGAAAACGTTCCTTGGGATGTGCTAGTTGAAGTGATGTTTTCATTTTCTTATATTATGATAGAGGAATCGTTCACATACATGTACTGCTGTTCGCTTCTTCTCCATACAAATAACACCAGCTTATGTAAAGAAGATTCTCAATCAATCGTTTTCAAAAAGTGCGTATTAAACTCTTAATGAAAAGTATATGTTTTGAAACAATTCCTCCCGTTAATTCAGTTTATGCCATTTTACATTTACGTATAAAGTACTGGTATGTAAATAATGTTAAAAAACGGTTTGTTTGCTTACCTGGTGGTATTCATCAAGGCACTACTAACATCAATTAGCAACCCAGCACTCTGCGACTTGTGTCCGGCATTTATGATTTTTCGTACCGTCATGGTGAATGATGCGACCTCCTTTCTGCTTATTATTTTATTTTGTTCATTTCTCCGGATTTTCCAAGTTCTATTGTCCGCCATCTGAAATAGTTCTGTTTTGAAAAGAAAACTTTCATCAATTTCAAAAACTTGTAAAAGCAAGATTACAATGCCCGTAAGAGGAAGAAAGGCAAATAATTTAAGATCGGTGATGCTTGGCCTTAAAGCATGGTCTGTCACAAGAAACTGTTTCCGTATAGGTCTAATTCATTTCGTTCGGCTCTTTTAATGTACAAAGATGACGGGTATAGTTTTTGTATTACTTTGCTTACAAGTGCAAGGAAAACAAAATGGGAACAACAACTGATGGGGTCCGTCTACTGTACGCTCCTGCGCCACAACTGCTAAAAACGTTAGACGTCGATAATGAACAAAACATACAACAGCTACATCCATGTACAGACTATCACAAGTGTTTTTGGATATCAAATCACGCACAAATCGCACAAATCACTATTCATTAAAATGTGATTTGAGATTGATAATGGATGTTGTAAGCCAAATTCAAATTCCAAGTTTAGTTTGAAAATTTTGTAAAAGTTTGATTTAATTGATCGAATTCCAGCATCTACCGGTTTCATTTCCGTAACCGCCCATGCGATGAACACTACAACGATTTCAGCCCCCCTAATAAATATACACCATTCTGTTACACTCAAATTAATAGTTTCCTTATTATGATGCACCAGTGTAACTGCATTTTTTCAACAGGTACGTCACGAGTGTGGTCCGATGTCCGCTCCTTTCACACGTAAGTGAGAGCGGGCGGACGCCGGATAGATAGCACGGTTTGAATGGTATTGACAGCCACTTGTAGTTTGAATTATTGGTCTTCTTACCAACGACTTCTTGGAATGGTGATGAAGCATAAAGACTCCATAAACACGTGCGAAATATACACAGCCTCCTTTCAAAATTGAATTGTACCTGAGTTGGTAAAGCAGCTTGTAAATATTTCCCCACAAATCGTGTCAGTTGAAACATGGAGAAATGAAATTTTCCTTTCTCTGTGACCGAAATGTAGATGTTTCATCTAAATTGTTAAGTGCATTTTCATGGTCAAACTTCTATGTACTTACCGTTGCGTGACATTTTCCTTCTGATACCGTCAATCTCTGTCGAATACCTGTATCTTTCGGCAATATGTAAAGCTTCAGGGGGATACGATCATAAGAATTTAGAGTCAAGGCAGAATGCTTCCTAGACCAAAAGCAACTTCGAGGCGACTGTAAGAATAAACAATCACTTAATTAATGTTATCAGGTGCAGTACGATACATATTCATTACGTGGACGATGTGATAAACATTGCTGATGGTCAACCCGTACTCTGTCTGGATCGACTTATTCTTTAAGAAGACCCACGAAAACATATTAATACAGCTAAGACGGGTCATCGTGTGGGTGAAATCATTGTTTCGAAAGGTCGTTAAGAAAATCTGGGCCCACCTAGAAATGTGCTCCGTCGGGAATTGCATTTGCTAAAGGGGGTATCTTTCGATGTCGTATAACGTGTAGCTGAAAATGGAACTTCTTTTAATTAAAAAAGAGACGCGTGGGACTTAACAATGTACAACCAATTAACTTGCAGTGATTTCTCTCATTTTACATTTAGGCCAAATACAGGCTCGAGGCTAATGCCTTATGGTTTGCGGTGAAGTGTGATGCAACAATTCTTCTCCTGTTTGTGGATTCATAGCATCTGTTATTAGGAAAACAGAAAGAAACAACAGGCCCACATAAAAGAAATCAGAGAGATCAACCTGCAACGTACACGACATATTTCTGGCTTGTTTGTTCTCCTGAAAACAGATGCGATACAGTCTGTTGGACTGCCGAAATTCTGTACATGGGTACAAAGTAGTAAGTAATATGGGCAAACACAATCATTGCAAGCGCCCTTCGCAACTCATCTATGAAAACACAATAAATACTACGCTACGTAATGTTCCATAAATGTACATTGGCAAGTGCAAATCTACCGCATCAGCGGTAAACAGTCAACTGTTTCTTGTAAACGCAGGCGTCGTAGACCGACCGACCTTCGCATCTGCAAAATAAAACAATCTGTCCAAAAGCTACAAAGGTTCGTTTGATCAATTGGACTAAAAAATTGATCATTTGGGAGGTTTCAATGCGTAGGCCATACCGTCGACAAATGCAATAAAGGAGTTCATCTTGTGAACATCACATTTAATGCAGGTTTTTCCAGCGGATGTTATTTCTGTCACCAACATTCACATATGAGAATATTACGAAGAGGCTTGTCCCATCTCCTATTTACGTGAAAAAGTCGAATACGTTTTGAAACAGCAATTAGTGTGGGGTCCATGCTGTTTCAGTGTTAGTGGCAGCTAGGGGTCCATGCCATGCAGCAGCCTTCTGCATAAAAAGCGCGTCAATTCATCACCTTAGCCACGATAGTGATGAAGGTCTTTTCTTGACATACCTCAGGGGTGTTTTCAGTTTGTATTGTGTAATTTGTAATTCTCCGTGTCAAGTGTTATGTTTGTTGTTTATGTCTTGATACATTCCCCTTAGAAATGATATGAATGAGCGCTGGAGCCAAGCGTTGGGTAGCCGTTAAAACCGCTGTAACTCACACGTCCGTTAGGTTTATTTCAATAGTGTAGGAGAAACGCGTTTACGAATCATGCACGGATGTAAACACGTACATACACTACAGGCAAATGTTGATCATTTTAAAAACTAAAAAAGTAGAACAATCGAATATGCATCATTTTGAAGTCATAACACCTAGATGACTATATACAAAGGCTATAGAATCAGAATGTGACAAATCATGGAGGAATGTCTATTTCTTCCTCTATGGACAAATGCAATCCAGAGTGGAGGACTAGCCAAAAGCAACATGGTCTTCAGCGATGAGAATGGGTAATGAGAGCGCCCTCAATATCATGAAAAGAACTGTAACAATTTCATATGCATCCTGAGTACTAAAAGATGACGTTATTGATAAAAAAAACCACATTACCAAGTTGACGGCAAGGCTCTTACTCCCTATAAGGAAACCAGCGACAACGATAACAATATGAAACTTGTTCAAAAGAGTTCTCAACGCTTTTCAATACCACCTTCTCGTACGTTTGCAAGTCCTCGGCAAGTGTGAATAAATGGTGTACACAACGTCTTGGATTATAATTTACATCATTTTCCGAAAGAAAGGAATAACTATTACCGACATTGTGTGTTTGTTGACAAGAAGAACGAGTGTTTCCAGACTTCAGGCTGCGCTTAAAGCAATAGAAAATAGCTGCCACTTGTGTATGGGTAAAAGTCAATAGAGCTTGACTTGACCCCTCATCGCGCGCTTCCGCAACCCTTGGATAGGAATACTCACTTGCATTGATTTCACAAGTTTTGCTGTTTTTCTTTTTATTTAATTCCCAAAAAAATCCAACTCCGAAAAGGGAAACATCCTGCCGAAAATTGACCCATGCATCATTTCCAAAAATATAAAATTCACGAATAACAGTGGAATGCGGCAGTCTCGTACGCAGATGAACATTTACAGTTTGAGATTTGATGGTAGTCGGGCGGTAAAAGCCGAACTATTTTACACAGTTTATAATTTATAAGTAATACACTTAAAGTGCACTTCATTTACGAAAGTTTTTTTTAATGTTACCTATGCTGAAAACTGCGTGATGCGGAATATGGAACCCATGGCCTGCAAGTAGGTAAATCTGACCAATGTTATACAATCTCATTTCACTAATATTAGCGTGAGAAATGAAAACAATAACGTACACGAACATTGTGAGACCGAGGTACGATATCGCCGGAAGTGAAAGGTGGTTATGAACTAAACTTCGTTTTTAAGAATCCCATGTGATTTATCTTGTATATTGCTCGAGGGAGAAAAAGGTTAAAATTCCAACACGCGGTTTTCATGGGATGGTTTCAGAAAGGATTTATTTTTCCCAAATTATCAAAACGTGATAGGACGGCACAAGGTAAAATCGCCACAGGCAGACAGCGCAGGGTTCCAGAAGCTCGCAGCATGACCTTTTACTTTCAGTCTCTATAACGGGAAGGAAGCAGATGACGAGACAATGGCGGGGCAAGACGATATGCAAGTTTATATTTAAAGTTTATGCGTAAAGTATAAAGGTTAAGTTTATATGTAAAGTAAATTAATGGGTTCAATTTGAGTAAAAGCCAAGCGACAAGATATTTAACAATGCAAAATAAAATGAAATTAGATAGATTACATTTGAATAAACACACACAAAAAACAAACAAACAAACAAACAAACAATGACCACATATCCTGGCCATTCGTCAAATGATATAACAGTTCTTTTAAGATGGGCACTTGCACTGACATCTCATAGAAAAGAATTTGGTATGACATGATATCATACGGTTGAAGTAAAATCCAACACACGGATTTGGGTTCAAAATTTATTCCAAAATAACTGCAGAAAAAGCGCCAGAGAAGGTTAATAACTACCCTTTACAATTTAAGGTAAAAGACGTAACAATTAAATGTGCCAGATTTGACGCTGGGGGATCAAATCAAGCAATAACAAAGACCAGAACATTAAATTTCCTGGGCGTGAAGAGAGTTTTCGTGATAAGAATTACTAACGAAAAATTATGGTGGTACAAGAGGTTTTTTGTGGTTTTGAAAGTGATGGTGCGTAGCAAGCGCTGGCTGGGTGCTTTGTCAATGGACATTACAGGCATGCCAGAAAATGACGAGTGGCCAAATGTTACGGCCTTGGCGGTTCAAACTTCAAAACTGCGTCCTTCTCTGGATTGAGCATCCAGTTGGGGTCACTGTAATCTATCACATGTGACACTGTCGAGCACAAACGCAATGTTCTTAATATGAGGTATAATGAAATGTTATCAGTCAACAGATTTTCGACTAAGTCAAATGAAATGTTGCATCCAGCTTACCACTTTTAAAGATTTTCTAAAACATGTCAAGTCCAAATGAACTAAGCAGTATACATACTTTATTTCACATTAACGAAAGCTATCACAATGAATACTAACAACCAAAAGCACCAAAAAACCCAGAAATCAAATACCATGGACAAAACTAGGGGACACATATTTCGTCTGTACACAAACGTCTACAGGAGTAAGTTTTATACACTGCGTTCGCATACAGAAAAGGTTAATTTGTATGTCGAACTATTGAAACATAAGTCCACACATGAATCATCTTTACTTGCGCCAAAAATTAACAAACATAATAAATGATGAAAATAATCACACACTGTGCATGTTAAAACAAATACACATTGCCGCATGACTAGAAAACAACAGATATCAGTAGTAAAATTAAAATTCTACGCATACTGAGTGGTGCTTAATCAAATGTTCAACCCGATCCAGAAATGATTCATTTATACAAAAACCACTTCAGGCAAACACTACACATACAAAGTCATCTACAAAATGTAATACAAAGGAATACAGGATACACGTACAGGATCGGGCAGCATGGATATACATGTAAACGAAAGTCAACATGGCAACCGTTGGTATCAATAAACACTCCACGTCAACACCTAAACATCTAGCAAAAGCTGAGATGTAAGAAGTTCCCACACCTTTTGTATGCAGCACGCGTGCAACAATGCTGAAATCAAGGGCAAATATTTCCAGTAAAGAGCTAAATCAGCCAATGGCATGAAGTTTGAAATATCTAGGAAATACAACTGACCATACAAAAGTTTTGATTAGAAAGTGATGCAGGCAGGTATTAAAATTAAATTTTATCGGATAACAATTGTGCCACTTAATATTACCACGTAACAGCAGTGCAGTAAATCGTTCCTTTCAATAACAACACTTTGAAATGAAGGTCGAAAACGAGAGTTACGCAAACCAAATACTCGTATTTGTGGTGGAAGTTTCAAGAAAATCGGAAATTAAGCAATATATTCTTGTAAAGTAAGTTTCCCTAATTTATGTTACATTTGTTCTTTTGAGGTAAAAACAAAGTCAATCAACGACCAAGAACTCGAATCAAAGCGGCATGACCGAAATACCCTGTTGACAAAAACCAGGCTTGTACAGTGTCAGGCCAGAGCTATAAATGTCATTTATCGGAAAACAGTGACAGCACAAAGGTCTAGATCAACCATCCCAAAAAAAAAAATTAAATAACTTTGACTATGCTTTTGGAAAATACATCTTTAGTTATCAGCACTCAAAGGGAGCACAACTGATTAACTGGAGCACTGTGCAATTTACCCTTGGAACTAATTTTCCGAACAAACCTTCATGCAAGTTCAAGATGGAATCCCATCACCTAGCAGTATCCATGATATACATTTACCTTTGACAATTGTTAATTCCCTGCAGATAGTCAATGTTCCTTCTGGTTTTCTCCATAAAATTATGCTGGATTTCAAGCTCAATTTTGGTCAGCTTTCAGGGGCAACACCAACCCACTACCAACACTAACCAACACTAATAAAATGATTGGTAAGTCTGAACAAGTTATAAAAAAGTACAGGTTTCGTGTTTTTCAAGCAGCATGTTTGCTCAAAGACACACAATGTCACTTTCCAGTTTTGTTTGCACTTTAAAATTGCCAAATACCGTAGTTTGATTGGATTTGGCCCATTAATAAATAAATGATAACAGCAAGAATTAAAAGTGTATACATGCTGCAAGACAACTGCAAAATATTGGGTTGGGTTGAAAATTGCATCATTTTAAAAACACTCACTTATCAGTCGGCAACCTTCTTTTACACGATTTAGTCTTGTCAATTTCAGTGAACAAAAGAGAGGCCAACATATACCTTAAATGTAAAAGGTAAAAGTGACGTAAAGAAGAAGCTGAAACACCACTGCATCGGGAACACCTTTTAAATCAAATGCCATTTTGATTACATTAGTCATGCTTGGTCAGAAATACTGAACCAGTGTTGTGAACAAGTATGCAAAGCCACCACAGTATTACATTGTCAATATATACTTTCACCTGTTCCATGTACATAACAGGAGAAAGCTCGATTTTTAATTAATTGGAATATAACACTTTCTGCATGTGAGCTCACTTTGTGGATAGAGGTTACATACAGTTACTTTTTACCACAATCCTAAATATTGAAAGTAGCATCAAGGACTGCTTCAAACTAAGTAGTGCTGGTGCTCTTTACAACTGGAAGCAATGGGTCGTAACCGCTATTGTAACAATACTCAGTGTACTTGTTACGCCGAACCACCATTCTGTGCAAATAAAACAAATGGTGTAATTTTGGCATGGCACACAATATTTTTTTATATCGTGACAGCCACACGAAAGTTTGCTCAGCACAAAGAGTATTGTCCGTCTCCAACAGATGATCATCTGGGTTATACTTTGTTCTGCACAGCTTGTCGGTGTGGTTTCGTACATGTAACCTGTCTACACACTTGTGCAGATTCAACCACATGTGAGACCATGGCCACGCAAGTGGTAACGGTTTCCTAGCAACGTTCATGTTGTCCAAGTGGCACATATTATCGTACACTATGGACAAATTGGACCACGAAGTAAACGGCACCGTCCTCAAGAAAGGAAACAGCCAGGCTATGAGAATCAGGAAGACCTGTGAGGGTGACTCTGACCTGTAGACATACAATACATTTACAAAAATACAAAGTAAAAAGGGGAGAATTATATGAAAATGCTTTTTTTTTGTTAATGAAATATGAAATCACGATATCGTTACATCTTGTTTACTTTCGGTGCCGATTGAAATTGAAGAAAAAATCAAAGTAAATGGGAGCACAAATTATATGGACTCTTGGGCAGAAATTACAGATTTTGTCTGTATAAAACACAGCGCAAATGGCTTTTTATTTTTTTTGTAATTATTTCTGATTTAATACTTTACACATGTCAACATATTTTAAGATCATTACATGACAGTAATTTAAAATGACAACCTTTCCGCATCTAGCAATCTCCATAATTTTGCACACCATGGTTATTTACTTCAGAGGATAAAGTAGGTTAAACTCTGTCAAAGTTAATGACTTCAGGTCAAGGAACGAACTAAACGTTCACGACTGGCCTAGCAACAGTCCGGATCTCAACGCAATAAAAAATCTCAGAAAGGTTGAGAAAGAAAAGGTTGCAGAAAAACAGCCATCAAATACCAAGGCCTCAGTTTAAGCCATCAAACAGTCTGTTAGAAGGAAATAAGGGTGGACTACTGTCAGTCTCTCGTAACCAACATGCCATATAACATTCAGGAGGTAATCGCAGAAAATTGAGGGCACGTTAAACATTAGACTGTCCACACATATTGAGTTATTGACATGCGGTCAACAAGCAATTCAGGCAAGACAAAATAATGAACATTTGAAATCGATGTCAATTCCAAACATTTATTTCAAAAAAGTTAGGTTTTTCCTCCGAGCTAATGCATTTTTTAATGGGCAGTCTTCAACTGTTCATACTGTCTGGAATTCTTTTTACTTTAGCTGCACTTTTAAAAAAGGTGCACTAGATAACAGCTTAAAAAGAGGAGCATTATGAAGATTTAACAGAAAAGGATCAATGTCCAATGCCTATTTCAGATTAAATTTCAGAACATACTCACTTGTACAAAGTTTTCCAAAACTCAATATGGCCACCAGCACGAACAACAAATAAATGCCCCCTTGACCACTTCTGAAGTCGTTTCTTGCCTCCAACATCCTTCTTACAGGTCGATGGTATTTCTTCCACACATTCATTCAGCATGGTGGAAATGGAGTAGCTGTGTTCATTGAGGAAGGCTGTTGTTCCTATTGTCAATGTGGGTTGCGATAGTAAGAAGAGTAGTTCAGATCACAGGAATATAGGGTTACATGAGGAGATGTTCAGACTCCTTTTGTATAGTGTGGTATTTTGAATGAATGACAATAATGTCTCCAACCTTGGTCTGTTTCATACTATCTATATGCAAAACAAGACATGGGATGTAGGGTAACCCCTACAAGTAACTAAAAATATTTTTCTCACATAAAGCCAATTGACGGGCAAAAGCAGCTCCAAAAATTGTCAAAGTCTATGGTAGCACATGCATATTCGAATGTGTATGCATGTTTCGATTGCCAATTGCATGTGCGTCACAAGAGTATGGAACTTAGACTCTGTTGATATCTATTTAAGTTGTACCCCAAGTCACAATTCATATCAATGATAACAAGACAGACATTATAGACTATTGAGAATGAACACATGAACCTTGCCCTTTTTTCACATAACACAAAATAATGAGATTCACATTGGATACTTTATGGAAAGCTTGGGTTTCGAAAGGTCAACCGTAATTTGTGGTTGTTTCACAGATAAACGAGAATTTTATAATGTCTAGAATGTAATGTATGCTTGCATTTCCATACGTGTACATTTATCTAACAATATTCCAGGCACAGAATTTCTTTACATCTTTTCAACACAGTGGTTTGTTAAGGTAAAAACAACGCAATGTAGAATTTTTGGCAAGAATTATTCATTCATTTACAATATGATTGTACAGATTACGCATTGAAATTTCAAAGGAGACAATTCAGGTGTAGGCAGCAAGGGTAACTACTGAAAAATAAATGCCCCTGGTGCAGCATTTCTCACCTTGGGCATCCACTACAGATTCACCACAACACGACACTGGCTGCAACTTGGACAGGACTCCACCAACTTTAGTGATTGTTTCTTCTGTTGAAAACAAGAACAAAAAATCAGCATAAATTTGCATATCATTCGGTAAATGTATCTTACACATTCAGATCAGTTTGTAATAATAACAAATATAATGGTTTAAAAATAAGGGAAAAAAAACTAAGAGGGTGGATGGCCTTAAGATGTGCACAGGACAATGGGCACAAGTCACGTCAAACCAGGCTTACCCCATTCAAAGATTTATTCGCATTAGCACATGCCCTTTGAATCAAAACAGCTCAAAATATGATGGAGTTCACTTAGAAATTTCAAGAATGTTATTGAACTACTCAAGCACTGAAACCCCTCGGCATAACTTGCAAACAGCAGCTTTTTGAAAATAGACTAACTTTTTTATGGGGGGGGGCCTAATACCTTGCGAGTCTTGAGCAGTTTTTAACATGATTGCCATTTTGCTGCTGGCTTTTGAAATGTACATTATAGTGCCTCCATTGCTTCTTTATCAAATGGTACCAGGTCTGGCCAGTTCATGAAATTTTGTATTAACAACAGGAACAAGCGTAATTGTATAAACAGGTTACATTCAATTTTTCAATGACAATGTATGCAATACTGCAATTCAAGATTACACTTACAGAGATGACTACCCCACAAGGGAAAAAAGAAACTTTTTTTTTACCATGTTTGGATGTTCATTTTGGTCTAAAAACATCAGACACAAAAATTATTGAAAAAGGTTATAAACAAAAAGGGCTTTAATTTGGAACAGGTGCCTGTGGCCGTGATTAACAATCTCCACATGGAATGACGAATGCACCGAACAATTTGCGTGGACCCAATGGTCTTTGTCATTCTACTGTAAATACAACATAATGATCAGAACAAGTCAGGGCCAAAACAAAATGGTTCCACCAAACAAACTGGCCAAATGGACTTACGATTGCAATTAGCATCACATGCAAGGACTAAGTTCGCAGCAGTATTGTCAAGAGGTGTTGATGGGTCTTCACTCGCAGTCAATGTTGATGCCCCGTCACATGCAGTCAGCATAGTTAAGCCTTCACTTGCAGTTGACGTTGATGGGCCTTCGTTCGCAGTTGATATGGATCTCCCTTCACTTGCAGTTACTGCCGATCTGCCTTCCCTCGTAGTTGATGTTGATGGGCCTTCGCTATCACGCAATGGCGTAGGGCCTCCAATGTCAGCAGCGGAAAGGCCTTCAACACAAAGATTACATCAATAACAAGTCCGTTTGAAATTCTTCTTTGAATAAATGCAAGTTACGATGGAAACGTAAAGAAAGCATGAAAAAGGTATGATAGAAAAATTTAAAGGAAGTACATTTTGAACATACAAACTACAACTTGCTCAAACAATGCAGAAGAGAAAATAATAAGATGCAAAAAGAAAAACACACAAAAACACAAGGAATAAAAGGTCCCAATCGGCCAGCTATATAATCATGCAAACATGAAGAAAAAAAGAAGAGTATTGCGGCCCATGTGAAAGAACAGCCACAGTACAAAAAGAATTAATCTTTTCAGATTAAATGTACAGTGTTCTCCACAGCCTAAGATTAAAACTGGGCGACATATGATGTGAGCCCGGACCTTGAAACCATAACGGCATCTGGTGCCCGCCACAGGAAATTTTTTATTCTAATTGCTTTGTGGTGCAATCTGAGGTATTTCCTGGGCACCTTTTTTGGACTCCTTGAATCAGATTGGCTTATGTTGAAATGAAGGCAAGATTGTTATCAGTAGGTCATCAAAAGTTGATTTTATTTTGCGGGGTATTTCTTTATTTACTCATCAGAACTTGCCATTGAGCGGATGGTTCGGGATTACATGTACGTACGTTTGCGCAACATGAATGGATCGTGCATGGTCGCTTTCTAAAATCTGGGTATCAAAAATAACTCCATGGTCTGATTCCAGCCACAGAATCATTTCACTTCGGTGAAATGCAGTCAGTCATCAAGTTCAGTTTTGACTGTTTTTCAGCTGTACTGTGAGCAATCAGCATCTATCCCCCTGCCCTGCACAGTTGACAAACCCATTATGTCACATACATGTGCAATGTACAATTCACAACTAGGAAAAATATGCAATGATTTTAAGCCAATTTACATTAAAAAGTCTCCAAAAATTATTTTGATTACTTCTTTTCTGCATTGTATATGTTTGCAGAAAAAAAAAGTGTACAAGAAGTTACACTTCACCAAAAATTGTTTGAGAATTTAGAACACATAAGAAGATGTTATCGAAGCAGAAAAAAGGAAGTTTTATTCAAAGCAATTCCAATCTATGAAAAAAAAATGGAAATGTGGAGATCAACTTCAGACTCATATCTGGGAAAACAATTTGGTAATAATCTGAAATGGGAAAGTCACATTTTGGATGTTACCACTAACTGTAGGAATCATTGGGCATTATCGGGAGAAACTTCAAAACCTGTCAAGTTGGTGTATAAACACAGTTATACAAATCATTGATCCTGCCTAAACTTATGTATGGTTCTGCAGCCTGGTATCCAACAAAAAAGAATGAGAAACCCCGTCTTGACATGATCCAGAGATCGGCTACTCATCTGTGTTTGGATGACTACTCTAGGGAAGGGAGTGTTACTGAAATGCAGCACCGACTGGACTGGCCAAACCTTGAAGTTAACTGGAGGGTCGTTAGATTATCTCTGATGTATCAAATTAGCCCCAACTTATTTGATATAAAGTGGGAACATCACCTGTGTAAACCCTCTAGAAGCACCAGAGGACACCATTGCTTATCATTTATACAAATAACAGCAAAATCAACTACTTATGTGAACAGCCTTTTTCCATGAACAATCCCTCACTGGAATACCTTGCCACACAATATTTTGGACATAGATATGTATGACTCCTTCAAATCTGCACTAACAGATCATTTTCAGTAATTTCATAGCCCAGCCAGCACCAGGTCTTTAGGTCATCTCTGATGAGAAGCGGATACCTGTTTCAACAGATTCACAAATCCTGATCCACAACTTTGATCACTAGTGGTGCCAAGTGCTTTTCTGTTGTGTTGAATAATGATGGCAAACTCATCCTGTTCGTTTCATAAAGTGCGATAAACTTTCTTTGGGTTTGCATAAGTAGTGCAGATGGTGGAGAAATCCAATAGAAGAAATAGCAGGCCGGTGAGAATTTAAGCGGGGCGGCACAAGTTTGGTGGGGCAGTCTAAAGTTTTGCCAGGGTGGCCCGCCCTGCTAGAACAATGACTGTAAATTTTCATTTTATTTATCAAGCAAAATGTTCTACATAACAATAGATGCAGGCATAGACAGGAGCACACAAAAATAATAGTATTCACAGTGATTAAGCTTTAACCCTTGGAGGGATTTACGTTTTACTCCTATCAAAATGACAAGTACATGTAAACTCGACAAACAGGCAAACAGAAAATCAACCAAGTATGGATGAATGCAAGAGGACAAAAGGAAAGGTCAAGAAAGCTGCAGGCTGGATAAAGGGGAAAAGGATCAAGGGGACTGGTTGAATAACAAAGGAATGTAAGCAGGGAAGAGATCAAAGAAAAAATACAATGGATGGAACTGGACTGCAGACAAAAAAGAAGGGAAATAAAAGAGTGTTAATTAGTAGGTTCATTCTTGGATGCTCAGGCCATGGGGTTGTACAGTATGGTGCAGAGGTATTCATTCAGAGCTTCTCCCAGGTGACAAACAGGCAAACAGAAAATCAACCAAGTATGAAGGAATGCAAGAGGACAAAAGGAAAGGTCAAGAAAGCTGCAGGCTGGATAAAGGGGCAAAGGATTTGTGACCTGTCACCACAAAATGAGCTAACTTCACACATACGAGATATTGGTAATTTTTGAATTTAGCAGAAATTGAGCTTTCCAATGGCATGTACATGGAACACTTAGGGTAGAAGTACAAGGTGACAATGTGACATTATTCTGGCAGGTTTGCATCTTTGTTCCCGACATTGTTTCAACATTTCAGACCAGGAACAGATAGTGCTATCGTCAAAATTGCTAAGGAAATGACAATTTGCAATATGTTATTCTGCAAAATATTTGAAAATAAATAGGAAGTGGTTTACTCTTTCCAAAAATTAACAAACCAAAACATTGACCTCTAACTTCAATATGACTCTGAACCCTCAAAACAGGAAAGAGTGGGATGCTACTTTACTCTCATTTTGTCGTGACAGGTCACATATTTGACATCAGAAGAGCTACAAGTGATGGTACCTCTGGTTCAGTGGGTGGTAACGCAGGAGTGTCAACAGAAATGTATCTGATTCCAGGACATGGTTCTGGCAAACAGCACATCTGTTAAAATCCAAGCTCAAGGTGCCATGCTGGGATGGGGAAGGGTAGGGGGGGGGGACTCTGGCCGGGTGAAAAGGTCAGATGGCTTGCAGGGTCGCCTTTAGAAGTTTTGTATTACAAAAACCCCTGGACACAATTAAGCATGACACTCTCCTCATTAATCCTCAGCCAAACCCATTACTCCTCAGCCTAACTATGGAATGCCCTACCATGGCATATACAGAGTGAGCAAAGCCACACCATTGTAACATGTACAGTTAAAACTTAACTTTGTAATATTGCATTTGTCCAGTGACATATTAAACTGCAAGATTCAGGATTTTATTAATTTTAACTAGTAGGGTTATTAAAATTTTTTAGTTTTTATCTTAACGTAGGTTCAGCTGTGATTCGTTATTTTAGTGTCACTGTGTCTGGTATAATTACTTTTCTTTTATCGTAGGTAAGGAGCAGGCCAAACAAAACAATGTTCGAGGAAGTTTCTGTTTCTTTGGATAATTGATTTGGTTTAAGCAGTTCACATGTTTATAGAATAGAAGGTCAAATCGAAATGTTCCTAGGATGGCTATTAGATTTCATTTGAAAGCAGTCTTTTAGGAAAGTGCATCTAACGTAAGGTTACCATACTTTGGAGAACATTGGTTTTTGTAAGCTAATGCACTGTAGTGAGGTTTTGAGGAATTTAGGATATGGGAGTTCCTCCTTTTTTGTATAGCCTTAGATTGAAAGTGCCTGAAGTCATACGAACCGATTTAACCTTTCCATGTTATCCTTGTATATCTTAGTCATGAGTTTTGGGTATATGTGTACACTTTTGTATTCTTCTATTGCCATGTGGTTGAACATGTATCTTGGATAAGACAGTTTTCTTTGTTCACCCTTCCTATGCCTCAACACATGGTTGGAGCAATTTCAGTTTATGACTAGGGATTAGGATTAGTGTTGCCTGCCTTCCAAGAAGTGGCCAAGTCCTTTGTTAATTGCATCATGATTATTCATGAGTTAAACCTGACTTCTTGTATATACATGTAAGCCCCATGCTTAAGTTGGGATAAGGATGAAGCCTTCACATGTACATGTACTAGCCTTGTATAATGCACTGAATAGTTCTTTGTTGTAGCATTCATTTATAAGTTTTCCATATTTATTCTGGTTGTTGAAGTTTGATCGTAATTGATTTGTGCCTTTTCTTGATACTGTGTTTGGTTTTGGTTTGTTTTTTGGGGGGGTCGTTATTTTCTCAATACCCGTTTCTGTTTTTTTAGTACTGCTGATATTTATTGAGAGTATTTTACTAAAAGGTTAAGGTTTACTGGGTCTAAAAGTTGACTTTCTAGGTCTCAAGTTTACGGTCTGAGGTATTTTCACTAATTTGGGTTTTTTTGCTTTTCTTTGACTTTTCATTTTTGTTACTTTTTTATCGGCTAAGAAGTTACTTAATAGATTGTAGATTAGTTTTTTTCTAGATTGGCTCTTGTTTGTTGAATCAAATATTTTTTTCTTTTGACTATTTTTGAGATCAAACACTTTTTCCGTCCTGTCGTATTTTTCTTAAAAATACCTCACGATTTCTCCTTAGTTGATCCCTAGTTAGGTATTATTTTGTGCAAGCGATTTCCCCCCAGAGTTGTCTTCTTCCAGTGTTCCTTTTTTTCAAGTTACATTTTTAAAAAATCATTTTCGGTACAGGTACGTGATCATCTACTTGTCAATGTACATGTACGTGTACTAGCAAGTCACTATCAAACCTTTTAAAATCCAAAATGGCTCTATTTCGGATTTGAGGTGATACAGCATGGAAAGCTCTTTGCAGGACATGTCTAGGATGAGTTCCTCTTAGTAACAAACCTGACTAAATCAAGCATACTTTGACCAGACCAACTGGAAAGAACCTACAGTACATGTAGCAAAAAATGCTGTTACGTGTTATGGGTGCTGGGTTGTTAGGGCTGATATACATAGCAGCAACTGAGACACTCAATAGAAAAAACAAATGGTTTTTCTGGAGTATTTAACAATATTCAAAAATTGTATATGCACTGCAAAGAAACTAATGTACAGTTCTAAACCTGGTATTTACAGTTACATACCATGCATAGGCTTAACCTCTTCAAAATAGTAACTTTTACCTGTGGAATCGGTATGAGCATCATCTCCTTTGACTCCACAGTACTTCAGAAAGTCAGCCAGACCAGTTGGAATGCTCGACTGTTTCGCAACTTCGCAGTGCTCTGTGCAAAATGCCTGGCCATATAATGGGGATTTGGTACAGACATCTGGTAGGCTGGGGACTGGGATGCCAGACACTTTATTCTAGAGAGTGGAATGGACAAAATAAGAAAAATTAATCAGGAAATGTTTAATAAATTAATTTAAAAAATGCAGTTAAATGAAATCAAACAAGTTACTAAGCAAAATAAATATGGCTGGGTAACTCAGTTGGTAGAGCACTGGTATGGTATTCCACAGGGCACAGGTTCAAGTCCCCCCCCCAGTCAATTTCTTTGTTCATCTTTGTAATCATTCATAAGCACCTAGTCAGCTTCCCTGTATGATTTGTTTCAAATAAATATAAAAAAAGACCTCATAAACAGTACACTGAGAGAATGCAGAGAGCTTGCCTGAAACACAGAGAATGGACAAATTCTGAAAGGAAACAACTACATGAATGCAAACCTGAATGATCATAATATTCAGAAATTTTCATCCAACTTAAACAATAAATGGCCATAAAAAGTCTAATAAAGCACTGAGCACACTCTCACTAAAAAGGAACGATTTACTGTCAAAAAAAGGAAACAATAAAGTGGATGAATATGGTCATGGTCAAGTTTTTTCATGGCATTCATTGAACACTACATTCAAAGATCTATTTACAGAACTATGACCATATAGGAAAAAGCAATTTTATAATGTAGATAAATAATGCATCTTCTTCATTCTTAATGTGAAGTCCTTTTGCGAGAGGTATTAAATACAATTATGTCTCACTGGTAAGCATTCTTTAAAATGTAATATATAGGTTCTAGTAACACTGAACATAAAAAGTGAAACTGTTTCAATTTACACTCATACCTCACATCGATGCATACAATGCGGAAAACTCAGTTTCCAGATGCCATCTGCCACAAAGACACGGCCGCAACCTATTTCAAATGATTGCAATGATTTCAAAGTATTCATTCTACAAGAAAAAACGACAATAGCAAGCGTACAATTGAGTTGAATGATAATGATCACCTCTATTCACCCAAAGGATATTTACACATACGAACATCACATTTGCTTTGCTACAAAAAGGAAAAGAGGCATATAGAACCCCTTAAAAACATGCCTTAACAATTACAATGCGGTTTCAGTTCTCAAATGAAATTCCAAAACAAGAGTTGTTCCTCAGGGGTTTTAAAAAGTCGAAGGTGGTATCTTACATAAAGGGAAACCAAAAAACATTAGCAAAAAATGTTATAAAGGTAACATAACATAAGCTAAATGCATGCAATTAAATGCAAACACTTCTGCTGCAAAAAATTTAAAAGACAAGTAACTAACCTTTCGCTTCACATTTGGGATGGCAGTTGGTATGATCATAAATCGTCTGCCGACGAATACTTTCAATCCGCTCCAAGAGTTTTTCTCGGTCTCCATCTGTCTTGAGCAAACCAAACATATCAAGTCGTCTGCGTTCACGTAGTTCATTGTGCAGCTCTCCATGAAAGAATGCTGAGGAAACCTGTTTACTGGAGATCCCTAAAACAAACACAAACCCAAGGGTGTGATTTCATAGTAATTAAATATGAAAATTGTGTGCGAACACACCTGTCACAGTAACATTTAGGTACTGCAGGCCTGGGTCAGGGTGGTTACATAAACATCCATTGGTTCATTGACTTCAGGGGTGTCACACAAAAGAGGAAAAAACAGTATCTACATTTACCACACAAACTTGTCTGTGGGGGATAGAATGCACTGTTACGAAATCATACAATAATTTGGTTTCTGATGCCATCCACAAACACATAATATACTTATTCTTTGCTACATATATGACACATTTGATGGAGTGATGGTTTCATTAACAGTGTACTTCCAAGATGATAGAGTAAGGTCAGCTTTAATTTGCACTTTTTATAAATGATGTCCGAAAGTTGAACGGATGTAACGCTGCATTTGGGATGATAAACGAAATGATTTTTCAGATTTTTAGAAGTTTTTGATTTGTTAAAAAGCTTGAGTTTTATTATTTACAACATAACTATTAATATTTATGATAAGGTTAGGGCAACACATGCTAAGCAGCAAAAAGCGGAAGTTGAATACTACAATGTACTATGCAACATTTCAGTACAAGTACATGTTGGCCTGAGTCAGAGATTGTTGCAAGCCAGTTAAAGATCATGTGATGTAAGCTAAACATACGCATTTCGAATGCGAAAATGCAATTAATTGATAACCGCCTTTTCCCAAGATACTCCTGAACTTAAAAACAATGCGTTCAGCTATAAATATAGCCGCCTGCCTCTATCCAAAAAAGCCCCCAATTTGGGGTTTTTGGCGAAAGCCCCAAAATGGAAACTTTCAGTCCCTCCTGATTAGGACATGTGTAACTGTACAAACCATGTGAGCTCACACAATAGGTCCTTATCAATTAAAACTGCTGTCATTAATTTAAGGACCCTGAGCTGATGAAAATTAGAAAAAATTGATAGCAATGAATTTAAAACTACTGACAACAGATTAAGTTTATGACAGAGAAAGACGACAATAATGGCAAATAATCTGTGCACGAATCTTAAATTTCTTTCACAGGAATTGATAGGAGTACACATACCTTCACTTCTTGATAGGCCAAATGCAGTGTTGAAGGACTCAGCAAAGCCTACGAAACTGACCCAAGAATGATTCCTGAGGAAAAAAGACAATACAACCAGTAGACTCCAATATAGAAAAAAAAGAATTTAAATTGATGAACAAAATTTTAAACTGTAGAAAATCAGTGCAGGTGCTAACTCGTCCAATGAATCATATGTCAATGGAAACTTTTGTCAGCATAAAAACAAGAAAGTGGCAAGTAAATTACGAAACATTATGTGGAATCATAGCACAGGTTGGACACCTTCTACATTGCATTACGACTATAACGCCCAGGGTATAAATGCAAAAGTGTTATTACACATTTTTGTCTCAAAATGTCATTTGGGAGTGCTACCAATGACTGTTTCACGGTGGCAAAAAAGAAAGGCGCTTACTTGCTGCAAGTGAGTTTTATGGACAGTTGTGATTTGGGGGAGGGGGCGGTACCTGAGCACTGTATTTGTTTCTGGGAGGGCCATGTTTCACCCATAGAGTTATTGCAGATTCAAAATCAAAGTCTGCGCATTTCAAAGGAGCAAGCAGCGAAATGTTTCAAGTGTCATGCATGTGTCAGCAAAAACGGTCAGATTTGGACACGTAACATGTATGTCACAAAAGATATTGAAGTGCCAAAAGTTTGCCGGCCATTTAAAACAGACATTAGGTGGGGAAAAAAGGGGTTTTGGGTGAGTTTGGGAATTTTTGAGAACCATTTTCACTGAACTGTATGGTGGTTCATTAGCACCCTGTTCCTATAGGCCCAAATGAGGAAACATAGTCCACTTTCTCAAACTAACTTACATTTTGACCTTAAGGAACCATTACTCAATCCTGATAGGCCTAGTTTAGGTAAATGTTGACAAGATCTAAGCAAGAAAACTTCGAATTTCTGACAAGAGTTTGGCAAAAGACAACCACTCATTCAAATGAAGCCATTTTGTTTTTCGTCTGGTTACCCTATTCTGGCTTTTTACATTCATCAGAAACAATCCCGACCCAGGTCAAGGAACCACACTGTATCTGCTTATTTGTCATTCACAACTCTATTTGGGGCAGTCATTTACGCTGCTGTTTAACCAAAAACCAAAAGCCCTGTCCTCTTTCTGATATGAAAGAGGACATCACCAAAAACTTTTTTTGATAAGTTATTTCAAAAAAGTAGAATTTGTTCCCTTATAATCCAGTTCATAAGTGTGACGTCACTTCAGTTTAAATCACACCCACTGCACATGAACTGATCATACAGTTACATGTATTGATCGTCATTTACTGGAACCGTGCAACCACAAGTTAACCCACAACAACATCGACCACCCATTAAGAATCTGTTAAGTGTGGCGTGTTTTCCTTTGTGACAAATTTACTTACAAAACGGATAGGAACTGAGTGCTAAAGGTAATGAACCCCACTATAGGCCTACATGTACTGTTGTGTAGCATTACTAGCTGCATGTATGACCGATCCCATCCAAGAGGAATAGGTTACTCATGCTCCACTTTTGTCATGTCAGTTGAGTCCATGATTTGGAAGAGTGGCATAAGTGAACATAGTGAACCGACTTTATCCTTCCACAGCAACATAAAATAATTACCATGGCTGTTGTTACCGCAGCCGTAACGCATCTCCCATTTTCTATCGTTACGGCACTGCAACTGCGCAAGCACGCCAACTTAGCACAGATTTTGGACTTTATTTCCCTTTAAAAAAATCCTCCAAAGCCTCCAATGAAAAAAGAAAAAAGATTCCTGCTTAGGCCTATACAATTAAAAAACAACGTAAAAAAAATAGGGATATGGTATAAAACATTAAATTTAGGCAAAAAAAACACAAATGAAATGGTCCAAGTGCGGATTCCAACTCACACACCAGTGGTTCCCAATCTTCTACCTTGACCATATATCGACAGGAATATAATACCTTGTGAGTATGCTACTTCTGAACTGAATCTGCTTGCCCTGAAGAAGGTTCTTAGTTAACTGAAAGCTCAACAATCACAGATTTTCGAGCACTGTTTGGATAATCCTGTCCATATTCTGATCTCGGAGCTACGCAGCCCTCCCATATTCCATCTTGACCACGAGAATTCGGGGATCCAGGTAATTTTAAAATATATGAACCGTCGTGATGATCAGCTACGTCATCGCACTTGCACAAGTTCAGTGTCGTATTAACAGAAAATGAGAAATGCGTTATGACTGCTGCAACAATAGCCACTTCTTATAATAATTATTCAAAGCAAACATAAGTAGCATACTCACGCAAGGCTGACCTGCAGTTCAAACAAGTCGCGTTGAAAATACACAACATTACTGGCCTCTATGAAGGGTTGAACCTTTTCATACAGATGAAACGATCTGGAGCTACTGCCATAACAGTCGTATCTATATGTCAGACTACAATTGCGGCAGCGTAAGTTCGACTTCAGCCCTTTGAAGCACCCCTGCAAAGTCACGACTTTCACCTTCACCGGCTGATTGTGTGGCTTCAATTCAAGTCCACATTCAAGGCAGGTTGAGTAGGGTGGAACCAAGAAGAAGTTGGGCCCCGTTGCTGAGCTGGCACTGGTAGTGGTATGATCACTTGCGGTAGATCTCAGTTGCCCCAATAAGAGTTTAATCAGTTTGACGTCTACTTCCAGCGTTGAAGCCAAAATGCAAGGGTCATATAGCGTGGAAATACTACTGACTTCGATGGCTCTGACTACTCGGCTCACTTCCTCAAATCCAAATTTAGACACTGCAAGTCCAAACTGCTCGTTTGGCGACAGCAGACGAACAGCATGTGAGGAAAGGTCCAGATTGGACAAAGCGTCCTTGTACTGCTGCACTGCCCTGTCCTCTTCTTCAAGTTTGCCCACAAAAGAACCCAAATCAAACTTTGCTATTTTCTTTTTGGGCATGGTATTGATTCATCATAAATACAACTGTTTCAAACGCAAAAAGACAAAGATAAGCAGAATACCCAACGAGAAATGTAAGTCGAAAAGCAATGATATGAAAAATCTAAACACGTGCGTGCGATGGCTAGAAGAAAAGGGAACGTAAAGGGAGGGAACGCGCATGCGTGGGGTTTGTAGCAGGTAGCGATGCTACAAACTACCAGCCCTGATTTCTTTCGTCCCATTTCGTGCATCAATTG